ATCTCCTCCTCTTTCTGACTCCTGTTTATCCCCCTTTCTCTCTCTCCTCTCTCCATCCGTCTCTCCTCTCCTCCATCTCTCTCTTTCTCTTTGACAGATTTCTTGTCGTTTGTCTCGGGGCAGTTTGCAGTAAAACGTCTAAACTGTCCATTTCTCACACGTCACACACAGCGCCGCAGCTCACTTAGCACAGTTAGCTCTGTTGTTAGCTTTATAAAACATAATAATAATAATAAAATAATAAAAATAAAAATAATAAAAATAAATAAAATAATAAATAATACATAAATAATAATAAAACATGATCTAGCTCATTTTTTCTTATTGGAAGTTTAAATTTAAATATATTTGAGAAGCTGTTTTAAATAATAATGTGATTAATTGTAAGAATAAGTCGTGAATTTCATTTAGATGTTACTGTTGGGTCATTAACAGTGTTGTTGCTATATAAGTGCATATTAAAATGGTAAATGTTGGCAAAAAAATAAAAAATTTGCCATGTTAGCCGCGTCGTTAGCCGTGTCGTTAGCCGCGTCGTTAGCCGTGTCGTTAGCGTTCGCGGTGTGTGTGTTTGGACGGCGTCTGTCGTCTGAGTCATAAATCGTGAGCTGAAGTTCCTCGTGCAAACACCAGAGTCTCACTTTCAGAACGTTTAAAAACACATCGGTCTGTCGTCACTTTAACGATTCAAACGACTCGAACGACTCGAATCACTCGCACATTTACACGTTTACGTTTTACGTTTACTCCAGAACGAGTGAAACACAAACAACAACAGGAGCCACAGACACCAGGACTGAGAGAGCCTGGACCAGGACCAGGACCAGGACCCAACCACAGGACCAGGACCAGGACCAGGACCCAGGACCCAGGACCAGGACCAGGACCCAACCACAGGACCAGGACCAGGACCAGGACCCAACCACAGGACCAGGACCAGGACCAGGACCAGGACCAGACAGGACCAGGACCAGGACCCAACCACAGGACCAGGACCAGGACCCAACCAGGACCAGGACCAGGACCCAACCACAGGACCAGGACCAGGACCAGGACCCAACCACAGGACCAGGACCAGGACCAAACGCACTCCCAACACGACCAGGACCAGGACCAGGACGAAGACGAGGTGTTCTGGACTTTTCTCTCATGTTCTAATGTTCCTCATCACAAACATGAAGAGGTTTAGAGACATCCATGCATGTTTGAGTCATCTAGAGATCTCTCCCAGGCCCTGTTCAAACCCTCCTCACATTTCGCTGCAGTACGAGTCTGTACGAGGCTCCGCCCCCCCACATGCTCCACACGACAACTCTCCATAAAAACACAAAAACACGACACAACAACTGAACACAACGACACGACAAACCTGATGTTTGTGCAGGAGTTTCATTAGTGCGACGCTCTGAAGGGGGAGGGACTCAGCACAGAGAGCAAAGAGAAGAGAGACTCAGAGAAACTTATAAAACCTGTGAATCTGATGTTTTTGGTGTAAGTAAAACATGTTTATGTGTATGTGTGTAATCAGTGTGTGTAAATGTGTGTGTAACGTGTGTGTGTATGTGTACATGTGTGTATGTGTGTGTATGTGTGTAGTGTGTACATGTGTGTATGTGTGTGTGTATGTGTGTGTGTGTGTATGTGTGTGTATGTGTACGTGTGTGTGTATGTGTGTGTGTGTCGTGTGTGTGTGTATGTGTGTGTGTATGTGTGTGTACTGTGTATGTGTGTGTGTGTGTGTGTAGTGTGTGTGTGTGTGTGTATGTGTGTGTGTGTGTGTGTGTGTGTGTGTGTGTGTGTGTGTGTGTGTGTATGTGTGTGTGTGTGTGTATGTGTGTGTGTGTGTGTGTGTGTGTGTGTGTATGTGTGTGTGTGTGTGTGTGTGTGTATGTGTGTGTGTGTGTGTGTGTGTGTGTTGTGGTTCCAGTCGAGTCTAAACACTTTTACTGTTTGACCAAAACAAACCACAAAACCACAACAAACCTCCAACTCCTCCAAACCACCAAGACCAGACCAGACCAGACCAAGACCAGACCAGACCACAGACCAGACCAGACCAAGACCAGACCAAGACCAGACCACAGACCAGGACCAAGGACCAAGACCAAGACCAAGACCAAGACCAAGACCAGACCAAGACCAGAACCACAGACCAGGACCAACAGCCCCAAACCACAGGACCAGGACCAGAACCTCGAGCGACAGGCAGAACCAGGACCAGAACCACAGATCAGGACCAGGACCAGGACCAAGACCAGACCAAGACCAGGACCAGGACCAGGATCCGGACCAAGACCAGGACCAGGACCAGGATCCGGATCCGGAGCGACAGGCAGAACCAGGACGAGCCGCCTCCTTCCAAACCTGAAGTTTTCCTGGGACATTTCTGGTTGTTTCTGACTCTGACTCACAGGAACAGAGTCCAGCTCCAGTCAAATGAAGCTCACTCAGGCCAGCAGCTCAAACTACACCAGGAACGACAGCGAGACAGAGAAAGAGAAGAGAGAAGAGAGAGAAGAAGAGAAGAGAGAGAGAGAAAGAAGAAGAGAAGAGACAGAGAGAGAGAGAGAGAGAGGAGAAGAAGAGAGGGACCAGCACCAACAGAGGGAAAGAGGGAAAAGAGGAAGAGAAGGAGAGAGAGAGAAGAAGGACAAAGAGAGAGAGAGAGGGAAAGAGGCATAGGGAAAAGATGAGAAAAAGGAGAGGAGAAGGAGAGAAAAGGAGGAGAAGAAAGAGAGAAAGAAAGGCAGAGGTGGAAAGAGAGAGAGAAAAAAGAGAAGAATGGGAAGAGACGGCAAGAAAGGGAGAAAGAGAAGGAAGAAGAGAGGAGGGTGGGAAGAAAGGAGGGAGGAAGAGGAGAGGAAGAGAGAGAGGAGGGAGAAGAGAGAGAGAGGAAGAGAGAGAGGAGGGAGGTAGAGGAGGAAGAGGAGAGAGAAAAGAGAAGGGTGGGAAAGAGACGGCGAGAAAGGCAGAGGAGGACGAGGAGAGAGAGAGAAGAAGAGAAGAGAGGATGAAGAGAAAGAGAGGAGGAAGAGGAGGAAGAGGAGAAAGAGGAAGGAGGAAGAGAAGGAGGAGAGAAGAGGAGGAGGAGAGAGAGGAGGAGGAGGAGGAGAGAGGAGAGAAGAGGAGAGGAAGAGGAGGAGAGGAGGAAGAAGAGGAGGAAGAGGAGGAGGAGGAAGAGGAGGAGGAGGAGGAGGAGGAGGAGTGTATCGTGGGCGTCAGCACAAACCTGTGGCTCAGGGCTTCCTGTTCCACTTCCATCCATCTTCAGTAAATTCAATAAATATGTATGAGATCAACAGCAAATATACAGAGGACCGACAGGGACCGACAGGCCGACGACAGACAGGGACAGACAGACAGGGACCGACAGGGACCGACAGGGACCGACAGGGACCGACAGGGGCCGACAGGGACAGACAGGGGCCGACAAGTGTGTCAAAAGTGTGAGAACGTGAGGAAATGTCCCGCAGTGTGGCTTTAAACGACCTGTACCTGATTTTTTTCTGCAGTTATTTGAGCCTCATTTGAGTCAGACTCTGTCCTGTTACGCTCCGAGGATCAGGAAGTGCGCCTTAGCATGCTGGTTGTTGATAGATGTGTTGTGGAAAGTGATTTTAAACTCTTTTAAATGCAGCAGAAAAAAGAGGAAGGAAGAACTCTGGAGCTCTGCAAACTCTTTACAATCCACTACAGCTGGTTTTGTTTTGTTTTTTTAAAGACTAAAAATCTGAGACTTTAACTCTGTCTTAAATGTTCCGCAGTGAAGCTTTAATCCTGCTCCCTGTTCACTGACACATTTTCAATCACAAAATATGAACTCCTGTCCATCCATTTGTCTTTCTCCTCTCCCTCTCTCTCTCCCGCCTCCATCTTTCTTCTCCCACTCCTCCTCCTCTTCCTCCACTTTCTCTGTTTCTCTCTCCTTTGCTTACCTCAGCTGAATCCCTCTCTTCTCTCCCTCCCTCTTCTCTTCCTCCTCTCCCTCTCTCCCTCTCTCTCTCTCTCTCTCCCTCTCTCTTCTCTCTCTCTCTCTCCTCTCTCTCTCTCTCTCTCTCTCTCTCTCTCTCTCTCTCTCTCTCTCTCTCTCTCTCTCGTATTGACAGGCCCCTCCCGTCTGCGCCGACACATTTTTCTTCTGTGAATATTCGTTTATTGAGCGTCCAATCTGTCGCCGCGGCGACGCCACCGCCAGCGAGAAAACCCTGACCCGGCGCCGTTTGAGGTCCGTCCCACACCAGAAAACGATGAGCGAAAAGAAAGAAGAAAACCACACCAGAAAACACGACGACGAACGAAAAGAAAGACAAGCACACGTCAACGAAAACCAAAACACTGTCGTCCAATCAGAGAACTGAGAAAAAATAGAACTAAACTAGGACTGAACCAGGACTAAACCTGGACTAAACCCGGACTAAACCCGGACTAAACCTGGACTAAACCTGGACTAAACCTGGACTAAACCTGGACTAAACCCGGACTAAACCCGGACTAAACCCGGACTAAACTAGGACTAAACCTGGACTAAACCCGGACTAAACCCGGACTAAACCTGGACTAAACCTGGACTAAACCTGGACTAGGTCACTTGTGTCTGTTTAAGGTTGATGGGAGAAACTGGACACGTCATGTGTCAGAACCTTCCAGAGGAAACACTTTGAGGACGACAGAAACACCAGAGCCGAGAGAACGAGGTGTTTCCTGTTGAGTTCACCTGGCGCCCCCTGCAGGCGACTGTGCTGCTGCAGGACACAGAGGAGGGAGGGACACTTTTGTCCTCAGGAGTCTTCCTCTCCTCAAACTGTCCAGACACAAACCAGATCCTCCCAGACCCTCCCAGATCCTCTCTGAAACTGCTCCTGCTGAACTTCAGTTTCCCTCTCGATCAGTAAAATATCTCTCACCTGTCGGGGCTCTGTGTGTGTCAGGGCCTCACCTGTCGGGGCTCTGTGTGTGTCAGGGCCTCACCTGTCGGGGCTCTGTGTGTGTCAGGGCCTCAC